TATACAGTATATAGTATATCTAGTGGTAAAAGGGCTATGGAGATAAGTAAAGCAAGACTAAGGTGTTAGGGAGTACGGGATAAGGGAAAGGCTATGTTATGGTGATTAAGAAATAGACTCAATGATAAGTTGACAAATGAACAAATGAAATAGCAGAGCCATGTGGCCTTTTAATCCCTATGCATTTCAAGGTGTACAAAAGTCCCTGCAGAGGTATGAGGTATACTTGGCTTGAAAACCAGCAAGAAGGCCGGTATGATTAGAGCAGAGTGAGGCAGAGAAAAGAGTAGCAGATGAGGTCTAAATGTATGAGAGGGCAAACATACATGGCCAAATCATGCCTTGTAGGCCTCAGAGATTCTGGGTTTTACCAGAAGATAAGAAACTAATAGATGGTCTTAAAATTAACAGTGAGCAAAGGGTCACTCTCATTCTGGGTCAGGCAGCAGTGGTAGAAATGGTAGGAAATTATGAGATTCTGAACACATAGGAAGGCAGAGTCCAGAGAATTTGCTGATGGACTGAATGTTAGTGAAGCTGGACAACGTCACAGTGGCACTCAGTGTTCCGCCAAGGCCATCAGAAACCACTGATGACTGAGCCAAGGTTTCTGTTATCTTCACAGTTCTGTCCCCTTCTTAGGCCCACTTCTCCTTCTCACTACATATATTTCAAGGGTAAGAAACTAAACTGCATTACAGATGAAGAAGAAATAGAAATTATTTTTGAGTTACATTTTAAATATAATACACCTGAGACAGCAAATATACAAAACACATATTAAATCTTTTTACCTCTTTATTGTGTAGAAAAACCTTTCAGAAATATTTCTCAATGTTTTAATAAAGAGGTAGCAAAGTTAAAATACAAAATTTGAAAATCATGTAAATTAAATGGCCTTTTTAGAAATTCATACTAAAATTCATGTCTCACATGGAAAGTTCTCCATCATATATTTAGTGAAAGGTGAATAACAGAATATAATAATAAGAATAATAATTTGAAATAATCTCATTTGTGGGGGAAACAGATATATTTATACACATAGAGAATGTCTCAAAGGATACCAAACTGTTAAAAGTAGCTACCACCAGTGAAGCTTTCTGTTTTTTACTTAATACAATTCTATACTGATTTTTTTTTTTTACAAACACATATTACTCTCATAATAAAAAAAAAACTGAAATGAAAACAAATACAGTATCCTCCATACCAAGGCCTAGGTAATAAGGCCAAGTCTGTCATGCCTCCGTGGGACCAAGAGAGAAGCAAACTCACTCCAAACATAGGCATCTATTTTCTGGCTAGACTATGAACCACCCCATTAGTTGCCCCGAAACAGCAGAGAGTTTGTTTAGGGATCAAGTGGGAAGGGGCATATTTTCTAAAACACTGGCCCCAAGCAACTGCCTATTAATGACTGCCATTAAAACTCAAACAAATGTGTGCCTATTTGATAGCTACTCTAGGAAAAGGCAGGTTTCTACATCCTATGAAATGGAATCTTTAGGACTCTGCTCTGGGCTGGAAGTCTTAAGAAGTCAAAGAACCAGTTTTTAACAAAGTTTTAAAAAATCTTTTTTAAGATTTATTTATTCATTTGAGAGAGAGAGAGAGAGCATGAGCAGGAGGGGGAGAGGAAGAGGGAGGGAGAATCTCAAGCAGACTCCACTCCGAGTGAGGAGCCTGACATAGGGCTCAATTTCACGACCCTGAGATCATGATCTGAGCTGAAACCAAGTCAGATGCTTAACCCACTGTGCCATCCAGTGGGTTTTTTTAACATCATCTGCCCAAAATTTTTAACACACATCTCTTACCACACACACACGTACCAAGAAAAGGCCATGTGAGCACATGGGGAGGAGGCAGCTCACTGTCTGCAAGCCAAGAAGAATGTCCCTATTAGAACCTGACCATGCCAGCACTCTGATCTTGGACATCCAGTCTCCAGAACTGTGAGAAAATGAATTCTGTTGTTTAAGCCACCCAGTGTGTAGTATTTTGTTACTGTCAGCTTGAGCAGACTAAGGCAATACTATTGCATATAATGGATACTATTCCATATAATGGAACACTATCTAGTCTTTAAAAAGAATAAAGCAGCTCCCTGCTCAGCAAGGGAAGGGGTCTGCTTCTTCCTCTCCCTCTGCCCCCTCTCCCCCACTTGTGTTCTCTCTCTCTCAAATAAATAAATAAAATCTTTTTTTTTTTTAAAAGAATAAAACAGCTCTTTGTGGATGCATATGAAATGATACATAAAATGCAATAAGTGAGAAAAAGCAAGTTGCAGAACAATGTGGAATATGCTACTATTTACAAGAAAGAACAGATACTGTTTGCTTGTACATATATAGAATATGTCTGGAAGGATGCACAACAAAGTTGTGGCCTCTGAGATGGGCCAAGGATGGTTAAAAGTATTAGGGAGATATTTCGCTGCCTATCACTGCCATACATTTTAAATTATGTACCAGATGAACGTACCTGCCCCAAAACCATTTTTAAGTAAAAAAACATTTTTTTAAAGGAACGGATGGTTCATTTGTTATTTCTCAAAAAATGACTTTAGTTGTACGATGCTTTTTAACAGCCCTCAATTACTTTGTTCAGGAGGTTGTAGCCACTGTAAGGGAGCAAAATTTGCCATCCAAAATGTGCCTCTTTGGCATATATATTATTTTAGGCTGATTATTTTTAAGGAACAGCAGGCTCAGGAATAACTGCTGACCTTCCCACAACTACCTAAAAGAATTTAGAGAACCTGCTCCAGGAAGAAAGCTGTCACCACAGACAGCTATTCAACTATGGTTGCATTTCTACACGCTAATAATGAGCTATCAGAAAAAGAAATTAAGAAAACAATCCCATTTACACCTGCATCAAAAAGAATAAAATATCTGGGAATAAATTTAACCAAACAGGTGAAAGACTTGTACTCTGAAGACTGTAGGACATGGATGAAAGAAACTGAAGATACAAACAAATGGGAAGATATATTCTGCTCATGGACTGGAAGAACGAATATTGTTAAAATATCCATACTTCCCAAAGCCATCTACAAATTCAATACAATCCATCAAAATACCATTTTACACAAAACTAGAAAAAAAAATCCTAAAATTTGTATGGAACCCCAAATACACAAAGCAATCTTGAGAAAGATCAAAGCTGTAAATATCATGCTCCCTGATTTCAAACTATACTACAAAGCTGTAGTAATCAAAACAGTACGGTACTGACACAAAGACAGTCACATACATAGATCAAGAGAATAGAATAGAGAGCCCATAAATAAACCCACATGTATATGGTCAATTAATCTACTACAAAGGAGACAAAAATATACAATGGGGAAAAGACAGTCTCAATAAATGGTGCTGGGAAAACTGGACAAGTTACATGCAAAAGAATGAAACTGGACCACTATCTTATACCACATATAAAAATAAATTCAAAATGGATTAAAGACTTGAATGTTAAGACCCGAAGTCATAAAACTCTTGGAAGAAAAAGATGGGCAGTAAGCTCTTTGACATCAGTCTGAGCAGTATTTCTTTGAGCAAATCTCCTCAGACGGGGGCAAACAAAAGCTAAAATAACAAAGAGGATTACATTCAACTAAAAAGTTTTTGCAGAATGAAGGAAACCATCAACAAAACAGAAAAGGCAACCTACTGAATGGGAGAAGATATTTGCAAATCACACATCTGATAAAGGATTAACATCCAAAATATATAAAGTTACACAATATTTTTTTAAAAAAAGGATTAAAAAATGGGCAGAGGACTTGAAAAGACTATTGTCAAAGATGACATACAGATGGCCAACAAACACATGAAAAGGTGCTCAACATCACTAATTAACTATCAGGAAAATGAAAATCAAAGCCCCAATGAGATATTACCTCACACCTGTTAGAATAGCTATTATCAAAAAAACAAAAAAGACAAAAAGTAAGTGTTGGAGAGGATGTGGAGAAAGTGTGGAGAGGATGTAGAGAAAAGGGAACTCTCAGACACTGTTGCTGGAATGTAAATTGGTGCAGCTACTATGGAAAACAATATGGAAGATCCTCAAAAACTTAAAAGCAGAATTACAATCCAGTAATTCCACTTCCAGGTATTTATCTGAAGAGAATGAAAACAGCAAATGAAGAAATATATGCACTCCTATATTCACTGCAGTATTATTTACAATAGCCAAGATATGGACGCAACCCAAGTGTTCATCAATAGATGAATGGATAAAGAAGACGTGGTAAATATATACAATGAAATATTACACAGCCATAAAGAATGAAATCTTGCCATTCTCGACAGCATGGATGGACCTAGTGGGTATTATGCTAAGTGAAATAAGTCATACAGAAAAAGACAAACATTTACAACTTCTCCTGTATGTGGAATCTAAACAAAAGAACAAAACAGAAACAAACTCATAGGTATAGGAAGCAAACTGTTAGTTACCAGAGCGGGGAAGGACTGGGGAGCGGAAGAAACAGGTGAGGAGGATTAAGAGGCACAAACTTCCAGTTATAAAATAAGTAAGTCATGGGGAGGTTACGTACTGCATAGGGAATATAGTCAATAATATTGTAGGAGCTTTGTATGGTGATCATGGCAACCGGACTTATCCTGTGGATTTCTTAATGTATAAAAATATCGAATCACTATAACGTGCTCGATATTGAATGTCAAGTATAGTTCAATTAAAAAACAAAGCACTCCTCACAGCAAATTTTCTCTCCACCACACCTCGAACCTTTATTATCCCAGTCTCTTCCTTCCCCATTCACAGCCTGCCTGCCTTTCGTCCCATTTCCTCTCCACTCTTCCCAAACCCCATTTTTCACCCTTCTGCAGGCTCCACTCCCACTAGCCTCAGAATTCCCAAAGCTGTTCCTTTCTCGGACCCCGACTTGACCTCCACCTCCCCCCTTCTCCCTCCTCCAGGCCCCAACCCCTCCTCCAACACCCTCTCACGCTCCCACGTCCCACCTGCACTCTCCGCCGCTTCAGCGCCGACGCGTCCAGCCACACGCCGCAGGCTTCTTCCTCAGGGTCCCTCCGCCTCATGGTCGCTGCGGAGACCCAACCAACGTCCCGCCTGGCTCCCGCTCCCGCCGCCTCACCGAACGGCTATAACGGCCTCCACGGACGTTCGGATCTCGCGCCAACGCCGGGGGCGGAGCTACGCCGCCGCCACCGCCGCCGCCGCCGCCGCCGCCGCCTCAGGCACCGCCCCAGCATCAGCCCCGCCCCAGCCCGAGCCCCGCCCCTCCATCTCAGCCGGTGGCCTCACAGGGTCGTCTGGTGGGTGGAGCACCTTTCGGTTTACTAAGGCCTTCACGTCCCTTGTGATCTTCGAATTCCAGAGTTGCCTTCCCGCGATTAGGCTGTGTGAACGTGTTCACGACATTGCACAAGGAATATGCGTTTCTTTTCGCTAGGTTAGTTGCACTTTCTTGCTGTAAACATAACTACCCCGGGCTCAGGGTTTTCCAGTTTCACAGCTACATCCTCACAGTCATCCCAAAAGGAAGGGTGGAGCCAAGGCTGCGGTCCGCCAACTCCAAAGCCGGCGTCCCCAGCACTACCCTAAGTGGTAACCATACACCAGAGTTTATGAATTACTTTTGAATTAAAAAAAAAAATCCAAGCATAACTATGAAACCACATGGGAGAGGATTTAGAAAACGTTAAAAAGTGGGGGGCGCCTGGGTGGCTCAGCGGGTTAAGCGTCTGTCTTCTGCTGGGTCATGATCCCAGCCAGGGTTCTGGGATGGAGCCCCAGCTTCGGCTCCCTGCTCAGTAGGGAGTTTGCTTCTCCCTCCCCCTCCCCCTACTCGTTCTCTCTCTCTCTCTCTCAAAAAAATAAAATATTTTTTTAAAAAGGGGTGGGGCGCTTGGGTGGCTCAGTCGATTGTGTCTGCCTTTAGCTCCCGTCATGATCCCTGGGTCCTGGGATCCAGCCCTGCGTTGGGACCCCTGCTCAGCGGGGAGCCTGTTTCTCCCCTCTCCCTCTGCAGCTCCCCCTACTTCTGCTCTCTCTCTTTAAAAAAGAAAAGAAAAAGGTTAAAAATGAAACCAAAAAATTTGGGGTCCCAGGTTTGTCAGCTCCCAAAACTATCTCCTAGTCCTGCCTTCACAGCTTAAGCGAGACCCTGGATTTTAAAGAGGATCAAGTGAGGTAAAGTTTGTGAAAGCTCCTCAGAAATGCAGACGTGCTGGCATCCCACTCATCGCTCATCCCTAACCACAGTCCCCATAGATGTTCTTTATATATGTATATAAGCCATATACATATATATGTAGACAGGATATTTTTTAAAAGACTTATTTATTTTAGAGAAAAGAGTGGGGGCCGGGGCTGAGGGAGAATCTCAAGCAGACTCCCTGAGTGTGGAGACCCACGTAGTGCTGGATCTCACAACCCTGAGATCATGACCTGAGCCAAAATCAAGAGTCCAACATGCTTAACCGACTGAGCCACCCAGGTGCCCCTATAAACAGGATAGTTTAGCAGTAGAGTGATATTTTTTTTAAAAAGATTTTATTTATTTATTTATTTGACAGAGAGAGCGCACAAGCAGGGGAAGCAGCAGGCAGAGGGAAGAGCAGATTCCCTGCTGAGCAGGGAGCCCGATGCGGGGCTCGATCCCAGGACCCTGGGATCCTGACCTGAGCTGAAGACACTTAACTGACTGAGCCACCCAGGCGCCCAGCAGAGTAATATTTTTTATTCACTTGGGTTTTTTTTTTCTTATCAGTACTTCCTAATTTTCCTTCACTGTACTGTGGAAAACTGTATTATAAACTGTACTGTGGAAAAGCAGTATTATAAAAATTAACATATAAAATCCTTCTTGATTGAAGGAAAGACCCAAAAATGAAATCTTTGTCAAATTATAAAGTGGGCTTATGTAAAATTTTACACATTCCTTTAACTTCTAAAACTTATTTGGTAATAAAACTGCCCTCCCTTCCCTGCCAAAAAGAAAAAGTTCATACACATAGTGTATAAGGCCCCCAACCACCCCCAGGCAAAGAAAAAACACAAACTGCCTTCCTCCTCCCTGTTCCCACCCCTGGGGGCCCCAGCACGCCCTGGAAAATCTCAACATGCTAAGCAGGTCCATGGGGGCCCCAGGGCCCCATTCCCGGGACAGGTGGCAAAAAGCAAAGAGGCTGCTCTTAACAGTCCTTTATTGCATCCAGGACATATCGGAGTCCAGACCACCCCCACCTCCAGTGCCGCTGAACTCCCTTCAGTACATCTTTGGCCTTTGTAGAGGCTTTTCCCTCTGCCTGGAACGCCCTACTTCATCTGCAAACTCCTATTCACCCTTCCCAACCCAAGACCATGAGGGTCGCAGGCAGCATTATTCCTCCTTGGTGCTTCCCCTGACAGGTCATTCCCATATTAAAGCTCTCATCCTGCATTTATCCACAGGACTCAGCTGGTAGCCTGCCTCTGAGCAGAGGCCCAGGAAACACTGAAATGGATAACTGAATCATGGACAAGGAAACCAGGAGAGAGGCTGGGAACAGGATGTGTGGGTCACAGAGGGCAGACCTAGAAAGGCTGGGGCTCACTGTGTGGGACGGTGACTGAGGAGGTATGGGCACTGGGTGGGATCCATTTCTCCCTAGCACAATCTTCTACTTTTGGAGACTGTGGAACTCCAAAACTCCAGGCTGGAACTCAAGGGATGGTACATACATTTGGGGCCTGCCCCTTCCCTATCCACCAGTGAAATCTGGCGGGGGGCGGGGGGTTGCTGAGGCCTCTTCTGCCTCTGGCCTAAAGTCTACCTTCACCCCCCTCCCAGATAATCTGGAAGCTCCCAACCAGGGTCCTGGCCCCAGCTGACCCCCGATCCTCACCCCTAGTGAGAGGCAATGGGGAGAGGCAAGCCTGGTCGGGGGCCCGCATCTTTATCTCTTTTCCTCTCCCAGGGCAGGGGGTTGGGGCAGGCCCAGGAGTGGACCCCAGCAGCTCCTGGCCAATCCTCAAATCCAGGGACTGGCCAGTACCGCCTTTGGCAGCTGAGGCGTGCACAGGAAGTCACCACAGGCCAGACACAAACAACTTTACCAGGCCTTGTTCCCCTCTGGAGCCAAGCCCGGACCCTGGGGGTCCCACTCTACCTCCCTCCCTTACCAGCCGCCACCCCACCCCACCCCGCCCCCAGCCCTTCACTGGGTCTTCTGGTCGAGTTTGCGCCGCACCAGCCGGCTCAGGATGAATGCCGTCAGCACACTGCTGCCCACGGTGAGCAGGAAGAGGCCGGAGAAGTTGTGGGGCCAGCGGGAGTGCAGAGGCTCGTAGATGGGCCGCCGGGCCTCGTAGTCCAGGGCCACAGCCTCCAGCTGAGCCAGCGTGCACAGCACCAAGAACACGTGGAAGAGCTGGTGGCCCTGCCCGAAGAGGTGGCAGCTGCCAGGAAACCAGCGCTCGGGCATGAAGGCTGAGAAGAAAGCGGCGGCCAGCAGGAAGAAGACCACCTGGCACTTGTGGTAGAGAAGGGCGGGGTCATCGGCGGTCGGCTCGGGGGACACCAGGATGCGGTGCGCCACGGGGCTGATGTCCAGCGCATAAGCCAGCGCCGACGGCACCTCCTGGCAGGTGCGGCCCAGCAGGCCAGGCTTCTGGCTATACTTGTTGTAGCAGGAGCCGGTGCAAGACAGCCAGGCGAGAAAGGCAGCCGTGGGCAGGAAGACGGCCTGCACCCGGGCGTGCCAGGCAGGCTCGATGGCGTAGTAGAAGTGTGCCAGGGCGCTGCCAAACTGGTACACGGCCACGCCCACGTAGTCCAGGAAGAAGAAGCTGTAGTGCCAGAACTCGGACTTGGCCTGCAGGAGGTGAGCCAGGGCGCTGAGGGAGAGGTAGGTGAAGGAGGCAAGGACAATGATGAAGAGGGGCAGGGCGTGGGGGTCTCCCCAGAAGTCCACGGTCCCTGCAAAGATGGCCAGCCGCAGCAGCAGCACCAGCGCTGCCAGCAGGTGGGTCCAGACATTCACCGCCTCGTTGTGCTGCTGGAAGAGCGTGCGGAAGTAGAAGCGCCACGTCTGGTGCAGCGGCCGGTAGCCCACGTAGATGTACGGCTTCCAGAAGAGGGGCGGCACCTCGGCTCGGGCCACCGTGAACACGGGCTCTGGCCGCCCGGAGGGCTGCGGCTCCCGGTGGGCCTGCCGCAAAGCGGGCAGCAGATGGCTGAGCTTCTGGGCCACCATCGTGGCCATGACTGTGGGCCAGGCCGGGAGCTGGGAGAGAGGCCAGAGCAAAGTCAGGGTGCCCTGGGCCACCATGAGCAGCAGCTGGGAGGCTCTGGAGCCCAGTTCTCACTCCCTCCTTCCCGCCCTCTTTATCCCCTACACTGAGTTTCCGAAGAGAGGAGTCATCCTAAGGAAGATTGCAGCTCTGCCCCCACGACTGTTCCACGCCCTGATGCATCCCAAGTGCCTAGAACCGTGCCTGGCGTGCCGTAGGTGCTCAAGCAATGCTTGAGGAATGAATGGAGGCGGCTCACTAGCTCAGCCACTTCCATTCCAGTCCAGGTCCACACCGCAGCTCCTGCTGCTTTCTCCTATGTTCGTGTCGCCATCTGTGTTCACCTGCCAGTGACAGTGACCTAGCTAACAGACCCACCGCCTCTACCTTTAGCCCCTTCGGAGTGGCAGGGTCTCCCACTGACCCTACATCAGCCTCCATGATCTGGTCCCTGCTACCTTTTCCTGCCCTATTGCTCAGCCACAGTGCACTTCCAACCCAGCCACAGCCTCACCACACCCCTGAGCCTGTTTCACACGTCCGGAGGTTTATACAAGCTGTTCCTTCTGCCTGAGACATTTTCCTCATCTTGCCTACCAGGTAAACTCCTACTCATCCCTCAAAATCCATTCTTCTGTGACAGTTTCCCTGGCCCCCTGAACCTCTGATGATGACCTCTCTACTTGAGTGCCTACCATAAGATACCCATCCTTTGACCATCGTAACATTTCTCATGGGCATTAAAATCGTTAATGTGAGCTCACAAAGGGTAGGCAGTTAGTCTCATTGTTTTGTGAACCCGCAGTGCTTTGCAGGTAGCTGGCATTCAGTATTTGTTGAATCAAAGAGCATAACAGCATCCCAATAACACTTCATACATTTAAAGTCCCCAACTCAAAAAGCCACTTTTTTCCCCTGGAAGTCCCCAGTTAACAACTGATTCTGTAAAAACAGCCCTTTCCCTCAGCCACACCTCCACTCAAAAGATCCCTCCTCTAGGCTTTCCACTCCCACCCACAGCTGCTAATTCCAAAGACATCAAATCTAACCCTTCACCCTGCCATTCAAGACCCTGCTACTACCCTTATTTCCCACCTAACCCAATATCACACTCTGTTTATTACACTCTATTTCCCTCCCCTGAAATCCTTTAGGGCCAGTTCAAACTGCCACTTCCAAGGGACCTCCTTACTGCCCCTGCCCTGTCTACTCCCCTTGTATAGGTTATATAATGTACCCTATAAAACATATTCATTCACTCATTCATTTGTTCATTTAGCAAACACTTACTGAGCCCCTCCTCTGCCTCAGGTCCTGTGCTGGGTCCAGGGGAGGGCAGAGAGGAAAAAGATTTAATCCCTGCCCCCAGGACTTCATGGTATGGTGCAGATTATCGAAAGGAAAACAAATCATAGCAAATGTTTATACAGTACTCGCTATGTGCCAGACACCGTTTCAAGCCCTTTACGTATAACTGACTCATTTATGCTTCATAACGCCCTGTGAATAGGTACTATCATTATTCCCATTTTGCAGATAAGGAACTGAGGCATGGAGATGTTAAGGACCCTGCCCACCCACCTAGCTAGGCAGAGGCACGGTCTGGACTCAGTTTGCAATCTTAACCATTACCCTAAACTGTCCTTCACAAGACAAGGTGACAAGTGCTATTAATCATTTCATAGTTATATACTTTCTATACAGTTTTGCCTGAAACCAGTTGCTTAATTCAGGCTTATCATCATTCACTGTGTCATTCGTTAAATCAAGTATCTATTGAAACACCTGCCAGACAACTCCCATCCCTCCAATGAGCTTACTGGACTCAGCATCCTGATTTTCTGTCCATCTTTCATCAGATATTTATTGCAACTAATTTGCACCAGTCATTTTAAGAGGCAAGGAGATCTGGGCGGGCTAAAGCTCTCATGTTTCTGCCACCAGCAGCACCCTAATCACCCCCAAAGCCCCCCCAATAATTTACACACAGTCCAATAAATGCAGGGAGCTTGCCATGTGAAGGCAGTATCAGGACAAGCCCCCAGCCCACCCCCCTCCCCATCCTAGCCTGACCTGCATCCCTAAGTGCCCCCTGCATTACACTTCTCAAGTCAGCTCTGGTCTCTGGCCTCTCCTAGTCCAGTGAGGAGGCAGGAGTTAAACAAGTCACTACAATACTGCACAAGGGATGCTCTGGACAGGGGGGTGCAGGACTCTCCCACTTCCCATTCCCCAGACAGCATGGCACAGGACAGGTGTAGGAAGCAGACCTTGCTGGCTGCTTCCGTCCATGAGGACCGCCTGGCCTGCCTTGCTAGTGGAGGAGCCAGCACTGGAGGTCTTCTCCTCCCCAGGAGGCTAGGCTTCAGCCTCTACCCTTGCCTACAACTTTGGCTTTCCAACTCAGAACCTCAGGAAGCCAGAAAAGGCCTTTGAAAGTGTCTCATGCAGCACCTTCGTTTTACACTGAGAAAACAAGAGCCCAGAGACAGGAAGGCCTTCCCCGGAGTTGCCCAATCCAGCAAGGTTTCCATTCCACCACAAGGGAAAAGACCAGGGAATGATAATGTGCGATGGTGGCCTAGTTTCTGGGTCCCTATGATCCATTAAATCTAGTCCAAGGCTCCATATCCCACTCTTAGAACTTTCCAAGTCATAACAGCCTATTAAAGGCTCTGAGAAGTCCTGCAGCAAAGAAGCCAGCTTTGCTTTGTTGAACCTCCATTTGTCAAGCCTACCTGACCAAGGATTCTTTTCCTAGGAATAATTATATTGTAAAGCCAGCTGAAATGTGTGCTTACTATATGTTTACTCTTTATAACCTTGTTGCAATTAATTCTCATCACTAGCCTGCTGAGGTAGGTATTATGCCCATTTTCTTTTTGAGGATAGTGAAACTCAGAGAGGTTAGGAGCTCCTCCCCATCTGCATTCCACAGAACTACTTTGGAAGATAATGGTCTAAAGCAGGTAGCCAAGGCCTTTCCCATAAATTATTTCCTTAGTCTTCTACCAACTGACACGCACCCGGGGACCTCAGCGTCCCCACGTTACCAGCCACCCCCTGGCTCTACACCAATGACGCTCTAGCTCACAGCCACCTCCTCAGCTGGTGAGCGCGCCCTCAGGGCCCTCCTCCTCCACCAGACACAGTGGGGCCTAAGCACAGAACCCAGAGGCTACATACTGGGATAAAGAGATCCTGCTCCCTACTTCCTTTAGACCTCACCCAGAGGCCCTATTCCATCTGGATACGTCTATTTTCAGAATTAGTTCCCATCTCCTGACTCCATGGAAAGGGGCCCCTGAATCCAGGGGAAAGGAGCAGGTGCAGGGGTCCAGCCTGAGCTGAAAGGAGGGTAGGTATCCAGAGACCACCCTCAGAGAATCCTCAGAGTCATCTGCCCAACAGGCTGCCAGGACCTGCCTGTTTCGGGCCACCCTCCACGGCCCCTCTCCGAGCCTGGGTTACCTAGGGGTTTTCCTCGAGCCTGGGGGCTGATGGCTTCCGCTGTGGGACTGGGCAAATTCACCAGATGCCAAGCACTGGGTGGCACTTCCACAGGTGAGGGTCACTAGGGGCGGGGCTTCCAAGGGCGGGAGGTGTCTTGTGTGATGTCACCAGAGGGTGGGGCTAAAGAAAACCTCCACCTCTCCCTTCCCACCCCCCACCATCACCATTCCCACACTGGTCAAATTCCAGCTAAACGCTGCCCTCCTAGCCAGGCCTCAGCTGTAGAAGGAAGCTCAGCATTACCCTCCACATGAAACGTCTGGGGAAACCCAGGGCTGGCTAAAAAGTTGTGACTTACCCAAGATTCACACGGCAAGATGGGCAAAGCTGGGCTGAGACCAGGTGACCAGGGCCTGGCTGATGGATGTCAGGCAAACTTGACTGGCTTCTGTCCCTACTCACCAGGAATCATAACGGAAAGAAGTTAGAAATAAAGAAGAAAGCGGACACCGGAAAGGCTCATGAAGGAGATGGACTTCAGATTCAGAAAAACCAGGTCTGACACCTGCTTCCATCACATGCTATAGCTGTGTGACCTAAGACAAGTGACTCATCTTCTCTGAGCCTTAGCTCCCTCGTGGGAATTATAATATTATCTATAGCATAGATGGCTGTAAAGATTAAACTCATTAAAGTTTTCACACGGTTTAGGGATTCGATAAATGATTGCTATTATTATCAACTATTAATAGTAGTAGTAACTAATTATTATTAACAGTAGTAGTATTTGAATTATCCCCAGCCTGAGTAGTAGTATTTGAAATATCCTCACCCCTAGAGATTTGCTTGGCATCGTCTTAAACAACTGTCCTCTTTTAGCCCTCAGGAGCTGGTTCCACTGGGTTTGAGGGCTTTGGTGAACTGTGTCTCTTGCATAGTTTACCTTTCTCTGAGGATACATGTAAGGACCAGGGAAATTTGGCCGGAGTTTGAACTTCTAGGGACACTGACCTTATTTCATAATTGAATTCTCCTCAGCATAGACCATTCAGAGTAACCTCTCTGGGTCCAAAGAGCCCTGAAGATTAGCACTTGTGCCGCACAGACCCAAAAGAGGTGGCTGGGAAGTGAAACCACCAGGGAAAGGGTCTCAGCTGCAGCTGCTCCATCCCCCAGTGGGAGGGTCGAAAGGGTAGACCATGCCAGCAGGTGATCCAAAAGGCATGTGGCCTGGCCAGGGCATGTCTTGCAGGTTTGAGAGGCTTCCAGGTTGGCTGAGCCTCAGCACTGAGATCTCCAGGGCCCACGTGGGAGCTCCTGTCAATTCGAGAAGCTCGGTCCTCCTCTGCCCTCCCACCTCCCATTCCCCTTCCCTAAACACAAGGTCAACCTCCTCACCTCGCTCCTCAATCCAGGCTTGCCCCAGTTCCTCCTGGTCTCTCCCTCATACACTTTGCCAAAGAGTCCCCTAAATACCTGGGGGGCAAAACAGATGACCAGGTTGTAGGGATGGGGCAATAAATGGGTTTCGAGG